CAGGTAAGACAGGAGAGGTCCTCTGCCATGTAGGTCACCTTCCTGGCCAGGCCAGGGATCAAACTCATGCTGAAGCAGCTGTGCCTAGCTTCATAGTACTGTGCTTTAACCCATTGCTCCACCAGGGGAGGCCTGTATATTTTAATTCTAATGTGAGTCCATCGGATTAAATCACCTCATTGTTCCTTCCTGAATTACTGTTCCTTTATGCAAAATATTAAAGCTGTATTTAAATTTTGAATAGCTATCTTTTGTGATGCTCAGATTTTATGTCGAATTAAATGAAAAGTAGAATGTTCTGTAATCATTTCCGAATAACCTGAAATGCATATGGAGGCCATTTATTTTTATAAATCTATTAATAGGCACTGAAATTTTTTTATAGACTAGATACTCTTGGAAGTAGTCTTTTAATATTGTTACAAGACAGGGAGAGGGGCACCTCTGGACCACGACACCTGCCCATTCTAAGTAGGTCCTGCCATCAATCACATCAAAACAAAACATACTCTAGTGCATAAGAACTTTAATAAGAAGGTACTTTTTTTTTTTAAGATTTATTTATTTGCATACAGAACTGGGGTACAGGCCAGAGGCTCAGGGGTGGCGAGAGGCTTCACCAGAGACAGAGTGGGGAGCAGAACAGGCAGATCGACGAAGTACACTGTTGAGGGGAGCAGCGGGCGGGTCAGGGGAGGTCTTCCACGCCATGTGGTCACCGCCGGGGCAGGCGGGAATCAAACTCATGCGAAAGTGGCTTTAGCTTCTTAAGATTTACTTTTATTTACTGATGCATACAAGAACTGGGATACAGGCCTGAGGGGGGCGGTGAAAGGATCCACCAGAGACAGAGTTGGGAGCAGAACAGACAGATTAACTGAAGTACACTGATGGTGTAAGCTTCCTGGCTGGGGAAGGAACTTGTGCAGTAGTAGCTGGTGATGCTTCATAGTGCTGAGATTAAACCCCTGCACCGTCAGGGAGGCCCAATGGAGTCTGCCACATGTCTAAAGCACCTTCTGATGGGTAACCATAGAAAAGGGTCCAAAGTAGTCAGATATTTATAAGGAAAAAGAGCAAAATCAACAATAACATTGTTAACCTCCCCACGGGTCTCACCCACATCTGTTCTAACCAGTCCAGAGCCAAAAAGCAAGTGCAGCTTCTCCACATGTCACTGCTCCATGTTCCTCCTCCAGGTCTCCTAGCTCTCCATTCTTCTTCCTTCTCAGGTCTCCTCTCCAGCTCCTACCTGCTCAGCTTCACCCTCCCTTAGGTGGGGCATGGAACCTGGAACTTCCCATTTTCCAGCCCAATTTTTAAAAAAGATTTATTTTTATTTATTTACGCATACAGAACTGGGGTACAGGCCAGAGGTATGGAGGCAGGAGCGATGAGAGGATTCACCAGAGACAGTGGGGAGCAGAACAGGCAGATCGACGAAGTACACTGCTGAGAGGAGCAGTGGGCTAGACAGGAGAGGTCTCCTGTGCCATGAGGATCACCTCTGGGACTGGGGTTGAACTTGCACTGAAGTGACTGCAGCTCATTTGCAGTGCTGCGTCCTAACACTTTGCGTGCCACCAGGGAGGGCGCCCAATTTAAGGATGAAATCAACAACTGTAATAGTGTGTTAATATTCCATAAAGTCAATTCCACGATGCCTTTGCTATACCTTTTACTCCACGTTCCTTTGCTCTACACAGAAAACCTGCTCTAGAAATGTGAAACTATTTCAAGGAAATTCCTAGTTTCCCATTTTGCTGTAAATTCCCTATGGATTAAATTCATTTGGAGATGCGAATTACTACCTGGAAACTGGGATTTACCTTGATTACCTCCTGACATCTAGATTGCTGAGAGGAGGGTCCTAATGACAAACTTTTCCCTTGAGGGACTGATGCCAGCTACTGAAGGGAGGAGTTTTTATTGACTCCCTTACTTCTATGATAGTAGAATTTAGGTGGAAATACAAAAAGGTGGCAGCAATAATAACGTAGAGATTACTCTTCAGAACTTTGTGTGTGCACATCATTTTAACTCTGTTCTCAACTTTTCCTAGGCATAATTAGGGGGGATATACCAATGACAATCATCAGAGGAATTTAAATTAACTCCACAATTAGGGCCTCCCTGGTGGCACAAGGGATTAAGTCTCAGCATTATGATGCTATCAGCAGCCACTGCAGCAAGAGTTTGGTCCCTGATCCCAGGCAAGAGAAGTGACCCACATGGTGCAGCAGACCTCTCCTGACTCACCTGCTACC